GACAATCTTGATGCATGAGGCCTCCCTAGAGACTGCTCTTCTCCAGGCTGAGCAACCCCAGCTCTCTCAGCCTGTCTTCATAAGAGAGGTGCTCCAGCCCTCTGATCATCTTCCTTGCCCTCCTCTGGACCTAATCCAGCAGGTTCACATCTGTCTTGTGCATGGCGCTCCAGGCTGGGTGTCTCATGAGCAGAATAGAAAGGCAGAATCACCTCCCTCAACCTGTCAGCTGTTCTTTTGATGCAACCCAGGATGTGTTAGTTTTTTTGGTTGTGAGCACACACTGCTGGCTCATGTCCAGCTTTTAATCTACAAGAACCCCCAAGTCCTTCTCTGCAGGTCTGTTCTCAATGAGTTCTTCTCCCAGTCTGTACTCATGCCTTGGATTGCTCTGACCCAGGTGCAGCACCTTGCACTTGAACTTGCTGAATCTCATCAGATTCTCATGGGCCCACACAATTAGCCTGATTCATTTTTTTTTAAAGTATGATATTATTTTAAATTTATGTGGGACATAAATAAATCCCTGTAACAATGCTGCACTGAATTCTGGCATTTTCTTATTGTCACTAGAATTTAGAGTCACATGGATTCGTCTGATGGCACATGAGAAAATGCAAAGCATGGTGGCAAACATGACATGAAGGTAGGAGCTAAGTCCTGCTTTCATTTGTGCCATGCAGACTTTCAGTAGAAACCACTCTTGGATGTTCACTAGGGTATATGACTTGCCTTTTAAGGAATGCCATTGCCTATGATGTTGTAAGGGCATCCATGGGGATTTAAACATAATGTATATGATGATACGTGGAAACAGTGCCTCTGAAATCTGCACGCACATCACTTAAATAGTCAGCTCTGATTCTGGGTTCTGTCTCTGTCTTCCTTTATCTATGATCTTTCCTTTAAAGACATCCATTGGATATAATTGATGGAGTTAATGGTTTTGTTTTCCCCTCTGCAGGGCCCTTTTTAGAAGTCATCTTGTCACTCTCTCATTCACTGCCCTTGCCCTCCCTCTTCCTTCTTACTCTGTTAAATCAGACTCCATTTTTCCTCCAATAGCTCTGCACAACCTTGCATTCCGCACATTGACCTTTCATATGCTGCCGTTTGGATCACCAGCTCTAGCCATTACATTAGCAACACACAATTACACCCTCAAGGTAGACTCAAGTGCAGATCCTACCTCTACATAAATACCTCAATGAATGGGAAGGTGCTGATGTATGTTGGAGTATGTTTGCAGCTCACGTACCAGAGACAAAGGATTCTGCAGAGACGTGAAACCATGGGTAGTGATGGGAGCATTTCCCAAATGTTTCTGTTCCACCAGAGTGCCCTCTGTATGGTGCTGTTCTCTGAGGTGCCCATGCATTATAATTTTTTCTAGAGGTTATTGCCAAAGCCACACCCAAATGTCACAGAGGGACTGTCACATGTAGTGAGCTCAGATGGGCAGCTCTTGATTGGTGGGACGACATGGCCCTTTCGAAACAAGTGTTCTTGGTCTTAATTGGTCAGTTTTGCTTCTGATAAGAAGCCCAATCCTGATATGCTGTAGTTTGGTGATATTTGTTGCTGTTCTGGGAGTGTGATGGGGCCATTAAAGTATGTAGGCTTTTTTTCTTTTGTTTCCTTTTTTCTTTCAGAATTCAACATACATTTTTCAGCAGGCACACAACACCAGAACTGAAGCAACTCTGGCCTCCCTCGCAAAAAAAGCCCAGTCTGACAATGAAAGATGTCAAATCTGGCATATGAAAGAATTTGCCCCATAGCTATGTGGGTAATGAACATACAGCTACATGGGTCATGATCTAATGTTTTTGTTATAGTCTTACAGTTGTGATAAATTGAGCAATATGTGAAGTGGTGGTTTTCAACCTGTTCAAGGTATTGTTTGTCCAGATTATCACAAATAAAATTTGCTCACAATCCCCAGATCACTGAGAATGAACTATCTTTCTCCCTTCTAGGAGGAATTTTGCTATGAGAGGTAGTATGAGGCTATCCTGTACCATCTCTGTGGAGAAAGAGTTATCAGTCTCCACAGTCTCTCAAGGGCCCTGCTGGGCATGTCATACTAACTGTGACATCTGGCCTAGAGCAGAGTTTCACCACAGGCTCCAGTATCGATCCATGTCTCCATAATTCACTAAAATAATCATCAGATATTATTTTACATAAAGGTATTGCTCTTCCTGTATTCTTTACTACATTGATTTTGCAAATGGGACCTCCTCCAACTTACAAAAATCTTGCTTTAGCTTTGTTTACAAACAAATTCCTTCTAAAATCGGTAAGTGTAATAAAAATCTGTGGCACGAGTGGTCAGTCCAGTATGTCTGTTACATCAACCGGTTCAAAAGAAGTGAGGAAAAGAGACCACCTCTGAAAGATTCCAGATGGAAATCAACCTGTTACCAGTGGAGCTGCTTCCCTCCATCATATTCTGGGTTGTGCCAGTGTTTGATATGATAACTTCGGTAAAATCCAAAGTGAAGTGCTGGAATAAATACATGTGTGGTGAAAAGAATTTGGCCTCCTCTTGCACTCATTATAGCAAGGCTTATTCAAGCCTTGTCCCTCACAGGCAAGGTTCTTCACTGAGATCTTCCTGACGAGGGGAGATGCTGGATAAATCGATGACTGCCTCGGTGGATCTTCGATCGGCCTATGGCCCTGCTGGCAAACACATGCAGCCTCCCAGCTGAGGCAGCTTTCAAGAGAGATGGAACTTTAAATATGCCATGCCTTTTTGCTGGGCTTGAAAGAATTAATGGCAGCAAAAACCTAGGCATGCTAAGAACATGGGCTCTGTCAGGATAAACACAACTGAAATTCTGCAAGGCTTTTCGAAGTGGGAGAATACAGCATTTCTTTGTATGTCATGTGCAGAAAGGAGAGATGTTGCACAGACATTTGGAAGCTCAGGTCGATTTTTATCATCTGAGGACTGAAACTCAGTTAATTCACCCTTTTTCCCCTAATTAATTAGACAAATCTGCTTGTGTTAAAAAAGCTGGACAACAAGGCAACCTGTAACTGAGGGTTTTTAAGCAGTTTTATCCCACTGCTACCAGGGCTTGCCTTTTTTTTTCTTTGCCTGCAGGGTCATCGTGCCACACAGGAAGGGACACTGCTGCTGGTACAGGATCTCCACAGCTCCCCTCCTTCCAGCCAGTGGTGTACTGTTCTAGTGCCATCATCAACAGCCAAGCCACAAACCTGGGATGAAGAGCTGATGTGTGGAAGAACACAATGCCGTGACATAACCTAGGCCATCAGTGAAATCTGAATGCATTTGGGACAGTAATTTACCCCAGCAAAAAGGAAAAAAGAAAAGAGTGAGGGGCAAATTGCTACCTTTTATTTTGACATTTTCTAATATAAACACTTTTACTTTTCACCCCAATGGGATCTTTCAAGGCCAAATTGAGTCACACTTACTTTTCAAAAGTTAAAACAAATGAGTCTCCCTGCAGCACACAACTGAAGCTTCTTGGTCAGTTTTCCCTCTGGGTCAACTCAGTCAGATACAAATTTTCCTGCTTTACCCATGCTGCTGCTGCACTACAGAGAATAAACTGTCTGCACAGCTCAGCTATTAGCCATTAGAATATGTTTCCACATTTAGCCTCCTCAAAAAGCAGGTGTTGGCAGAAAGTACGGTGTTCACAACCAGCACACATTCCCATTGACACACTTTTAATGCAGAACATAGAAATACACCATAAAAATATTTATTCAAGAGTTGAAGAATGGGTTGTGAGTTCCCAGCATATACTTCTATTTTCAGTGGGATAAGCAATTTTTCATATGCTTTAGCAAATTTTGGCCTAATTAAAAGAACAAGTAGGTAACTACTGATAGTATACATGGAGAAATTAGAGCAATAATCTAGTCACCTGTTTCAAACATATCCAGAAATTTATGAGGACTTTGATGAGGTGCAGACGTGCCCCTTATAACAAAGAACATAATGAATCCGGAGGACTTAGAGTTAGGATTTTAGACATCCTATGAAAATTTGTAACTTGGGGCCAGTGTTGTTCAGCTGCAGTAACAGGCATGCAGAGTGGTAGAGGAGACCATCACCACATGCCTGGTAGTCGCTGCTACATACTGAATGACACTGTGCTCTGCTGTCACATTTTTTTCCTTCACCTCCTGAAAACTGAGCCCTCTTTGTCTGGCTCCACTTGTCATACTTCAATACTTCAGTCACAACAACCTCGTGCAGTGCTACAGTCCGGGGGAAGAGTGGCTGGAATGTGGCCCAGCAGGAAAGGACCTGGGGATGCTGGTCCACAGCTTCTGAACATGAGCCAACAGTGTGCCCAGGTGGCCAAGAAGACCAATGGTATCCTGGCTCATATCAGCAACAGTGTGGCCAGCAGGACTGGGGTTGTGATTGTCGCCCTGTTCTTGGCACCGGTGAGGCTGCACCTCGAGTGCTGCATCCAGTTCTGGGCACAGAGAGACACTGAGGTGCTGGAGTGAGTTCAGAGAAGGGCAATGGAGCTGGTGAAGGGTCTGGAGAGTAAGTTATATGAGGAGTGGCTGAGGGAGCTGGGGTGTTTATCCTGGAGAAAAGGAGGCTCAGGGGTGACCTTACTGCTCTCTACAACTCCCTGAAAGGAGGTTGTAGCCAGGTGGGGGTCAGCCTCTTCTTCCAGGCAACTAGCAACAGGATAAGAGGAAATGACCTCAAGCTGCACCTGGGGAGGTTCAGGTTGGACATCAGGAAGAACTTTTTCACTGAAAGGGTGATAAGCACTGGAACGGTCTGCCCAGGAAGGTGGTGGATCCCTGTGATCGGTCCAAGGTTGGACTCAATGATCTTGGAGGTCCTTTTCAACTTTAATGATTCTATGAATACCATCTCCAGAAATGGGTCTGGAAATGTCAGCAGAATTATCTTAATGTTAAGAGTCCCCTTAATATCAGCTAAGCATGTTATTGTGTGAAAACCTGCTTACTTCGCTTCCACAGGTGTCCACTTTCTGTCATCCTTGATGCATAAAGTCTGGATGTTTCCCTGTGATTACATAAAACAGGACACAGGGCTGTTAAACAAAGCAACAAGATAAACTGAAAAGCCTATTCTCGTCTAACTACGGTTTTGTACCTTTCTGACTCACATTCCGGCTTCCTCCCATTGCCCTCCCCTTAAGAAGAAAAATCCAGATTGGATCCCAAAAGCTGGGGGGCACTGTCTGACATCTTCACGTTAAGAAACTCTGGCAGTGGCTGCTCCTGCTCCCTGATGTTTGATCCCAAGCCTCCCACACACATCAAGATACAGGAGGCTCAGTACCTCGGAGGCCAGAATGGTAAGAAACACAGATCCCTGATGAGAATGCAGGAAACGTGAGTCAGCATGAGCAAGACCCAGATTACTGTGAACAACACACCATCTGAGCAACATCCACTTAATCATGGTCAGAGAGTCAGTACTGTGCTCATACTAAAAAACTAACAACTCCATTTTCCAGGATCCATTGTAATACTGTGCCATTCAATAATTTGCATTCCAGCCCGCAAAAATGACCATTCTTTTTTCTGTCTATAGCCTTAAAAAATGGCATACTTTCTCAAAAGAAAAAGATAATCTTTTAACTTCTGATTTTAATCAGTAAAACAATCCTATCTCCTGCTTAACATGTAATTTTTCACTTTGACATCTCTTAGTTATCCTCAATGATAGGCTGTATCTTGATGAATGTATAGGGAAATGAGGCAGCACCTGTGCTTTTCATACTCTGAACATTTGATCAAGACAGAATCAGGAAGAAATCCACACACAGCCTCTGCTTCAACCACTGCTTGCTTGCGTGCGGACATTAGAGATGCAAAGGTCTTTGCACAGATAGAATTTAAATGTTTAGAACAACTGTTCACTTCTCTAGCGACAGTCATAGGTAGCTTTACATGTGGCAGGAAGAGGCACAGAGTTCCTTGTTTGTAGTAGAAAGAGCTGCCTTTGCTCTTCCTGTAATGCCATTTGAGATCTTATTAGACTTCATCTTATGTCAAAACAAACTCTGAAACGAAATGAAATCACCACAGAATCATATGCCATGCTCTGCCCAGGCACAGTAAGAGTAAGTTAAATTCACTATTGTAGCTGCCAGACTGAATTTGTCTGGTTTTATTGGTATATGACTCAGCTTAAATATTTTTCTAAGACAGTTCTTGATAATCCATTGGACAAATAAGTAGCATTAATAACACAGAAGAGGTGGTCAGTTCCTGCCAACCAGCCTAGTATAGGTTATTCTAAAGTAGGTTATTCTGGGTATAAAGGGAGGTAAAACAAGAATCAGAGCATCCAGATTGTCTTGTTTGGAATGCAATATCCCTAACCTTTTTGCCTTGGACAAATTTTCTCATTAGTGAGAGAAAGTATTATTCAGGGAGTAGAGTACAAAAGAATAAAGTAACAAGTTCCTATTCTAGGTTGGAATATTGCCTGTGGTGATCTTCCCTGGCTCCACCCACAGCCTCAATCTGCTGGACCACGAAATACAAATAACCATTTACCTACAGCACATACACAGTCAAGCCTTATCAACTTTCAGTGAAGTACTTAGTGATTCTGGGATGAGAATATAAATGCAGAATTAAATGCTGCTAATTTATAAATGTTCCCACTAATCAGATGTGGAATTGCCCCCACTCCCAAAATCATTAGTTTTGCACCAGAGGGAGAAGTCTCCTGAAGCTTTTGGAATGAAAGGGGAAAGAGAAAAAAAATGGAGAAGAAAGGATTGATCTGCCCTTAGATATCAGTTGCACAGATGACCATAATTCTCACATCTCCTCACCTCACGTTCATGTGATGTTGCACATCAGCAATATGAGTGTCTTCTTGTGAACAGCACCTTTATTTATTGCTGCTGAATTCATTTTCCTTTAAGAAATAAAGTTTTGTTACTGCTGGTATTATTGGCCTTCTCTCTCCATTTTCTTACACCTTTAAACTAAATCTCATCAGCACTTCTTTCTCCGGAAGTGATACAGAGCACTGCGCTTTGGATCACAGGGCTGCAAAGTGTCAATTGGTCTTTTTTAACTGTAACTATACACAACAAATATATCTGGTTTTGCCATGACTACTGGATTTTGTAGATGACTGAAAACAAGCTATAAGTGAAATATCTGTGGCATTATGCATTGGTGATACCATTTCAAACACGGGCATTTCCATTTCTGTAGGCCAGCCCCTATTCCCTTCTCCCACAGTTTCACAGCGGTTCCTCACCCTATCACTCCCATCCTGAGGGGCTGTGTGCAAGCCGGGTATGTTTATTAGACAGAGTTAATTCCTTTCAGGCTCCTTCTGTGCATGGCTGTGACTGACAGAGACGGGTGCTGTTTGCAAGTGTCAGTGGAGCATGACCTCGAGTTAATACATTGAATGATGAAAGAAAAAAAGATTCATTCAGCATGTGAACTCTGTGCTGAGATTAGCCAGAAGTACTGAGCACATACAAATTGCTGTTTTGTCAGCACGGCACTTGGCGGAGTTTTTAAATATTCCAGCTATTCTAAGCCATCATCCTCAAGGCTGGGGCAACTAAAAAAAGAGGGGGATCAAAATAGCATTTCCAATCCAAACACCATTGTTTTAGATGAGAGATTTGGACCTGGATGCTTAGAGCAATGCACGACCTGCTAGCAGCCGCAGCCCTCAGTTTGATGTGAAAGGACTTGCAGTAACATGCACAGAACTGTTTACAAAACCCAGAGAAGGAATCACAAGATACATAGCCTTTCAGTAGTAGGTGCCTGTTTAACTCCAGCCTGGCCAGGAGCAATTGGAAGTTACAAGGATCTCCACAGTCCGTCTGGCTCCTTGTGCTAATTGCTCTCATTTCAATTGCCTGTGGCCATAAGTTGATGTTCCAGATGCCATCTCTACATCTGGTGTTAGCAGAGCAGTCAGGGCCCACACAGGCCACAGTAGGTGACCTTTTCTCTCACCCAAGCAGTTCTGACCTGAATCTGTCTGTCTGGGGCACACTGTCTGCATTAGTGTTCAGGGTGTAGATCTTATCTGTAGTTGGCTAAAACAGTTATGAGGTTGCAGAAAAACCCTGGAGAATAGCAGTGTTTCAGGTTTTCTTGTGATTTCTCCCCAGCCATATAGTTGGTCCTTTCTTAAAATTTAAAAAACAACAGAGCTGTTAGCAGAAGGATTGGAAGAAATACAATTTCCATGCCTCAGAGAAAGGAGTTCTGAGTTCTAACACTATCACCAGAGGCAGGATTGCAGAGAAGGTATCAAATCTCTTTCTATCTCTGCTTCCTATTGTTGACTCTGACAACTACATCCATTTTGGGTCAGATTCTACCGTACATTGCTGCTCTGAAGCCAGCAGACAATAAATGCAGAATTTGGAGTATAATAACTTCAGTACTTTCTGTGCAAGGAATCCTCTGCTTCACCTCTCCTCACTGCCTGTCTACCTCATGCGTGCTTCTCTTCACTTTGTATCTGACCCTGTGCTCAAAAACCTCTGCATCATCTTTTTCTCTTGCAGTCTTAACTAAAGGACCTTCTTCTCTCTATTTCCATTGTCATCTATCAGGTTTTCGAGCCCTTTAAAATGGCAAGGTCCAAAGTGGTCCTGTCTTTTCTTAAAGGTGAATAAACCTTAAGACAATGCTTACTACCTTCTCCTCTTGCCCTTCTTTACCTCCCCTTTTACAGCTGCCCCAGGGAAAAAGACATACAAAAAACCTGCATGAGAGGCAGAAGACAGTAAATGTCTTCTTTTGTGAAGGCAGTAATATCTACCCTGGGGTTGCTGCAGCCCACTAAACACACATAGATTTGGGAGTTTCTTTCTGTTAATAAACATTGGGGGTTTTGTTACTAACCAGCAGCAGTAGCTCTTGATAAATAGATTTTACTGAAGCCTACTGCTTATTTAATAATTTCACGAGCAGATACAGTTTAGATTACCAAATTATTGGCAACACTTCTGTGCAACATCTGTTTTTTTACCCCAGCAACCTCCATCATGTGCTGACCCAATCCAGAGCTGTTTAGTTTAAAAGATATGGGCTGCAGCTAAAGTTGATACAAAAAGTACCCCAGCTAATATTGGCCAGTTTGTCATTCACTATTTGCTTTTTCTCTCTATTTGTTCATCTGCTCTGCCCTCTCACATGGTTTCTCTCTGCCTTTCACTTGGGTCACTTACCATGCTAAGGAGTAAACAAGAAGAGAAAGGAGAGGGCATCTGTATTAACAGTTATGCAGAATTATATATATCTACTATACCTTACTACTTGTGAAGTACTTGCTGGAACAACATGCTTTTGTTCACTTGCTGTTGTGGGCAGAAGCCAGTGTCATTTGCTTGCAAGGACGTGCATATAAGGAAGACTCATTCTTGCTGCTGAAAGGATGCGTTGGTCAAGCTGCCAGAGAAAGAGCAGAGTTGAGTCAGCAGTACAAAATTATAATTAAAAAAGAGGAAAAAAAAAAGAAAAAATACCAGCCATCATTTCCTAGAGAGCTCTGCAAGCTTGCTGGAACCCTCTTAACAGCCTTGCAAATGTCAGTGGTGTGCAGGCAGTTGCCACTAAACGGTGCAAATGGGAAAACTGCAGGAACTCACCATCTTTGCACAGCGTCAAGACTGGAAAATACCCAGAGCCTGTGACTCAAACGTGGTAAACTAGACTTGCTCTGCCACCTCCTGGCTGTACCAGACACCGAGCAGAATGCTAAACAGCCTACTTCATATCTTACTCTCTTTTGGGTCAGGGGCCTGATATAAGGTTCACTGAGGTGACCAAGCTTCATTCAGCCTGGGCCTGGAAAGTATATGCAGAATGAATGGAGACATAGACAATGCCTTTGGGACCATAAATATGAAAGAAGGGCTTTGCTGTGACCTTACACTGCAGTCCACGCATACATTTGAAAATACAATGAAAACATTAGAATTCTTTCCATGCCTGCTTCCCATACAAGTGTGTTTTATTAGAGTTTCTCACCTTAAAGGCGAGGGAGATCACTGCCTCTCATGGTATCATGTCATAATTGTCACGTTTCATCCTCCCAAACATTCAGGAATCTATGCCTCCTTATTGCTCTGTGGAGACAAAGTTCTGTAAGTGTACAAAAAAGGACTACATACTGGTTTGTTTTGTAATATGGGACTACAATATGGAAAAAACCCTCTAGTTAATATTCTTCTTCTTTCCTTCCTAGCTTGCAATGTCTAGCTATATTTCTTACTAATGTTGGTGTAGGGATGGAGATAGATATTGACTTCCATCTCTGTACAGAATTCTAGCTTTACTGCTCCATAAACTGCTCCAAGAGAATAATAATAATATGATGTCATGATTTATAAGCACAATATAGTTTTTTACATTTTTATACAGTTTCAAATAGTATTTGCTTTCGGTTTCCTTTTATATGAACTTCTATTCAATAGAAAGTCATAGAAAATCTCAAGGAGATTGTCAGCCTGAGGACATATAACCTTTGGCAATATGAGTCCACTGGTAAAGAGGGCATGTGAGTTTTGAGCTCTTGTTGTTTAAGTCTCCCTTTTAGACACCAGTTTGGAGCCCTTTAGTCATCAGTTTGCAGCCCCCTGTTATTCCACATTCATTAAGGACTCAGCCCCCCTCCCCACTGATATCACCCCTACAGAAAGATTTTTCAGAAAATGTAAACACAGACGAAAGCAAGAGCGACTGAATTTTGAAACGCACATTATCTTTGCTCTACAGCTGAGTAGCATCAAATTCATCTGGTAGGAGCACACTCTTTCCTTGGTTTACATGTGTGTGAACAAGTGATGTATTTTTAATGAGATTTATTTTCATGACAGGAATCGCACTGACAATTTGCATTAAAGATAAGCTAAATGAGCTGTTCAAGATTACAACAAGCTTCCTTACATTTGTTTCCTTTAATTAATCCATACAGTATGTTAATTTTGGATTAAGTCCTGCCTTACACCATCTATGAGATCAAAGTCATCCTTCAATAAAATCTTTGATCACCTCATTTTCTTCATGTCTGTTAACCCTTTGAGGACATAACTTTTTTTTTTCTGTTTTGTCTCAAGTGAAATGGCAATTGTTAAACTTTTCAGCTGGACAGAAATTTGTATTTCCAGATGGGTTTACTTTAAGTACCTAGTCATTTACTGGAATTATCAAGTCACTTCCCATGTTAATAAAAAATAAATTATATTATATGAAACCCTAGTGATCCCCAAAGAGAACTGAAACCTATTAGGTCTCCAGTACAGACCTTTACCACATGTGCTGATAAGTAACTGGTGGCAGTAGATGTCTGTTATCATCCATAGGGATCAGTTGCATGGGGGAGAAACTCAATCAACAATTTCAAGGAATGTAGGATACATCCTTCATCACCAGATTACACAGATATTTGCCAACAAAGAAAGATGCAAGATGAGCCTTGGATTGTTTCAACATTGGATGAGAAAGAACAGACATAAGGGGCTGTATAAATGCTGGTTCTGCCTTCTCCCTGCTTCTTTCCTTTCTCTTTTCCCTTCTCCCAGCTTCTTTCTTCCTATAATATCAAGTCCTAGTAAAGTCTCCAACTTCTGATGGTTTTATCTGCTTCACCTGCCTGCTGGCCCTGCTCCCCACTCCTACCCTGCAGTGCTCTGCTCTCCACAGGAGAAGCTGCCAGCTCTGGGTTGCAGCATGAAGCTGCACACAGGCAGATGAGCTGGCAGGGAGAAGCTGGAGGGCTGGAGGATTCTCACTGCAGATGTCACCAGCCAGAATTTAGCTGCCAAGCTAACAAGCTTCTGCTGAGGGTGTCCAAATTAAAATTAGTTAGAGTTTAGGATTCGGCCAATACACATTTTCCTGGAACAGCAAAAGAGGCTTACTTGATACTGAAAATGCCTTTTTCTATAAAGCCTGGAAAAAGTTAGAGTTCTAAGTCAAAGTATTGTAAGACTTTTAACTAACATATTTGCCATACTCTCATTTTTATTTTTATTGATTGAACAATTTTAGATAAAATTTTCAAAGTCTTGCTGACATGAGCTGCAGGAAAAGAGAAAGATAGTGTTATAAAACATTTTAGATACCTCTGCAATGTCAGCCTTCTATCACAGTACCATAAAGCCTAATCACATTTCATTGCAGTAATGGAAACACTCCCATCACCCTCATTCCCAGAGCAGGAAGCACAGGAGAGGCATCTTGAACCTCTCTCTTGACTCCAACAGTCAACACCAGAAAAAAAATAAGGAATAAAGCCCAGTGTACACCTTACCCAAAGGACACAAAATCTAGGCTTGGACACAGGTGTGGAACAGGGGGTCTCTATGCTGTGAAAGTGCTAGCACAGCCCTGGCACAGGTCTGGTCAGGGACAGCTAATCCCTTCGGGATAATGCCTGTGCATGGTTTGGGGGTTGACAAAAGCTACAGATTGTTCCCAATAGGCAGTTTGGATGCAGATACCTTGTTTTGGAGCCTGCATGAGTTTAGCTGTGTCTTGCCAGGAGTTTACTAGTTTGTTTACTAACTTGTTTACTAGTAGTTTGTTTGCTACCTTGCCAGTTTGTTTACTCATAGAGAAAGATTCAAACAGGCTCGTAACTCCAAAGAAGGACTGTGATCACCCAGGGAGATGGTGCACCTGTAGCTTACTCCACACTTACTTCCCCTTCCATTTATCATCAAAGAAATAAGCCACTGATGCTCAGCTTGTTAAACTTGCCAAGTAAGGCAGTGAAACTCCCTGTTTGGAACAAGAGTGTTTAAAATTACATCAAAAGAATAAGGAGGAAGGTAATTTTTATACCTATAACAGGAGACCAAAAAGACAGCATATCAAGCACATTTTGTCAGGAGACGAAGCCAAGGATCATTACTTGGAGGATTCAATAAATGTCATTAGAAACAGCACTTTTTCCCACTTTGTTCTTATCATGACACCTTGGCAAAGCGCTAGGAACTACTTCTAAGGAAAAAGTTACAGATGCTGGCAGATAGGAGCAGATAGGATCACAAGAGCTTGCACTTGAGGAATATTATCTGCCAGATTTAAAAAAAAAAAGAACTTTTGGAGCTAGTGATGACAGATCAAAAAAACCTAGCATGGTAAAGTAACAACTGCAACGGTAAAAATGACAGAAGATGTTTTTAAATTGCGTGTGAGAGTCAGTATCATAAGGAGAGCAAGAAGTTTGAAACAGGAGAATTCTACAATGATCCAAAGCAAAGGGAAAGTGTAGGTAGAACATACAGGAACCTTGGCAAATAGATAGAGAATCATTTATCTGGGGAGAAGAGTGAAGAAAACAGTTAAATCAGTGCCATCTAGAAATGAATTAAAATCAGTGAGTTCCAGTCCAGAGGGAAACTTTAAAGTTAGATTTTGGAAAGCAAAAGTCTGTCATGCTTTCCCTTTGAATGCAACTACATAGGTGCTTCTGAAACTGTGTAAGCTTACAAGGAGGAAGATAAATAAACCTATCACTGATGACAATTATAACAATTTAACAATTTAAAGCATATTATTACAGAGCACTATTACAGAAAAAGAGAACTACCTCCCTGGTGCCATCAGTCACAAATCAGCCAAGTCTAACTAAAGGCTGCAAAATTTGGACGATCCAACAAGCTTAGAAAAATACACCAAAAGATTCTTCTGACAGATACTGCAGCCCCCTCAGTAAGGAGAGTTTTAAGGCCTATTGCAGAAACAATCAAATTAGAAAAAAAAAAAAAAAAAAAAAAGGTTGGGAAAGAACGATGATGTTCTGAGAACAGAAGCAAAAGCATATTCCTGTGTTTAGATCATTTAATTAAGAGTTGTGTGGATTAACCTTGCAGGGAGGTGACATGAGCCTGCAGCCAGCTCCAAGAGCTAATAATTGTGTTGAAAATGTTGAAATGCAAATCTTGAGAAGCAATTATGCAAAAATTCTTACCAGGCAAGTTTTTTGGGGAAACCTTAAAAATAAATTGTAAAGAACAGCATGAGGCAGCACTGTGTAGAATAGTAATTGCTATGCCAGGGGAAAGAAAAGAAAGGAATGTGCTAAGAATGTCATCTATGACTGCTGTGAAACGTTGAAGCTCCCCAAAGCACTAAGTGAAAGCTAACAGAGCACTGTAAGCCACCAGTACAGGCACCCATCCCTTCCTACAGCAACAGAGAAGGGCTGGGCATTAGAGATACATGCTACAGGCCTGGGAGAACATCCTCACCTCCAAGAGAGATCAGGGTCACTTTCAGAGCATGTCTTGGAGTTTCGAACTCTCAAAGCTACACAACATACCATCAAAAAGATTCTGCACACCTGATTTTGTTTAGGAATAAAGATCAAGACCTCTCTTCAGGCATCTTCAGCAAGTCTGGATTAGGTGAAATGGATTCTCAGGTACAGGCAGAGGGTTTTTGGGAGTTCTGCACATACAGAAAACTCTGAGACCCAAACCCTCTCATAACCTGTGTGCAGTCACCAATCAGCTTTCTGACGTTTGATCAGGATAAAGAAAGCATGCTGCTTTGTTAAGTCCTACAGCAATGAGGCTTCTTGTAAGGAACAAGAAATCTCAGGTTCTTTTCTGCGCCTTCATCCACTCAGAGGGGAATTACAACCTCAACAAGTGCCTAATTTTAATAATTTAAATTTTTGGCCCTGAAATACATTTTGGCTCTGCTCAACAGACTGCTGAAATGTCTGCCATTTGGCCATCACCCTGAAAAAACAGTAATGGAGTCCAGTGAACCCCTTCCTTCTGCCTATGCTCAATAATCCCAATGTGCTGCCTGTCCCAAGCTTGCAGAAGGGTGGTCTGGTAAGCTCCATGAACCAGTATGAAGAGCAGCCAGGACAGCAATCCCAGCCCAGGTGCCTTTCGGGACAGGAGAATCACTGAATCAAATGAAAAGAGCAACAACCTTGTCTTTGATCAATCTCTGCTGTCTGTTTTTGAAGATGGTCCCTTCAGACAGGGTGATGTGGCAATTCTGGCAGGCTGCCTGTGATCCCCGCCTGTGCTCTGTCTGTATTAGAGATGCACTATCCAAACTTGTCTTCAGAATTTCAGCCATGCAGCCTCTCTGCAGTACTGCACTAGTAAGGAGAGTGTGACCACATACTGCATACAGAAGCAGGGACCTGGAAACTTGGTTCCTTTCTACTGCATGTTCTGTTGATCTCAGAGAGTAAAGGATGTGCTGTTTCTCCAGCACTTCAGTTTCGTATCTGAGAAGCAGGGGAAGTAGTGCTCACTTCCTTTGAAAAACACTTGGACTGCGATGGGATTAAGAGAAAATCAAAAGGAAACATTGCAGTAGCTAAACAGATGCAAACCTCCTTCCCAGTGCTGGATTGATATAATGTAAAATATACAGTTGTAAACTCTGTAACCTCATGAACTAGCACTGTGTTAGAGGCACCACCTTAACTCTGCTCCCTTGCATGTGTGCATCACAGCACATCTCTGATGACATGATTATATACGGCTTCTAAAATAATATAATATCAGGCAGTTTTGTTCTACAGCCTTATTTATTACTTCTGAGTCTGTTGTCTCTATTTAATCTTTTCTTGCCTGGAAGAACATCACTCCATCAGTGAATCAGCATCTCCAGAGAGGAAACGAAATGGAGCCACGTTCGTAATATACAGCAAATCGCTGTCTTAACACTCAGTTAATGTTCCACAGTGGATTAAGAATTATTGTCCTAGTATTTCAGCTTAGTCCAGATTTAGTGCCCCAGTGGAAGAATTAAGGAGTAGATGAAACAGTGCATGTAAAGCTAGTTTCCAGAGCAATAGAGGAGAATGTTGCTATCACAGTCACTAAGGCAGGTACGTAAAAATCAAGGAGATATCACAAAGTGGTTCCCTTTCCACAAAAGCTCTAGTGAGGGGAGAAAAATGCATTTGGATACCACAAGAGATTACAATGGTATCATTGAAAGCAGACAAAGATAAGATGTTTAAACAAAATTGTTTTAATGCACGCTATCATAGACAGAAATAGGACTTGTGCCTCCATGGTCTGTGTGTTGTTACGCATCATCCAGTTTGGTACTGCCTGGATTGGCCACAAAAGAGACAACTGACACACATGTTCTAAACCTTTGCTCACTAAAGATTTCCCGGAGGGGTGAGGTCTTCAGTGAGGATCTAAATTTGGGAGGGATTTTCTCTCAAACTCCTACCCCTATCCAAGGAATATTCCTGCAGTTCCACATCTGGCCACTGCAGTGCCTTTCACTTCTCTGGCTCTGACATGCTCTTGCAGGTTTGTGGTGACTAAGTGTTGTTGAACAGTTTGTTTTGATGGGATCTGAGCTGTAAAACCCAGGAAGAAATGCCCCCTTGAAAGTTCCTGTGATCCTCAAACTTCCTGCAGCTTCAGATATCAGCTGTGCAATCATGAGATCACACATCTGACTCACCACTTCTAATCTATTTTCCTCAACTCAGCTTTGCTTTGGCAATATTGCCACCCCCACGTCTCTTGCTGACTGAACACCAAGCAAATTAAATCCTGATCTTTCTCTTTGACTGCCTCCTCTTGTTCTCTTGTCTTAGTTTTTACAACTAAGATGCTGCCATATCCCTTTTACTTCATGTGAGTAGCCAAACAGGTTGCTCTCTATACTCTTTTGTACATTAGGCTATACTTAAACACCAGTGGTCCTTTCTGCACATTTCTGCTTCCCTTTATTAACCTACTTATCTGTTTCTGACATTTACTTTGCTGTTCTCCCCTCTATTTTGACAGCAGTGCTGACTCTGAGCACCAAGTACGACTTTTTTGTCACTCTGTCCTCTTCCTTTCTCTCATGCTGCCCTAAGTGACTTTTTTTTGACCTGCCAGACCAGTGAGGTCTGCAGTTTGCCAGTAGAGCTGTCTCTGTCCCAGGAGCCAATGCACAATGTCACATATTACCCGATTGTCCTTCAAATACCTCATCAAAACCTATTTCCCTGTAAGACAGAGAGCAACACCATATTACCAGAATAATCAAAAACCACGGTATCACTGGGCTTGCTGAGGGACCTACAGCCAGGCATTTCTTCCTTGTGCTTCTGAAAAAAACCCCACCTAGTAACAGAAAGGGACATCATAAATGGTTTTACTGAGCATGGCATCATATGCAGAGACTGAGAAAGAAACCTCAAGCTTTCAAGATCATTCTGAACTCATCATTTCTTCACTGAATTATATGATATTTACACTGAACTGTACAGTTGAACTCACCACTTCTAGCTTCATTCATCAGTCATTTTACACATCCATTCCTGGGAAAAAGACATGGGGCTGCTGGTTCTGCTGGAATACATGACACATTTTCCAGTGACCCTGTGCAAGCTAAGCATTGGCATAGGCTTACATGCTGCAATTATTGATCTCTTACCCATTATACAGGTTAGCTGTTTTCTAACTGTACTAATTGCATTTCGTTGTCAGTTCCTCCATGTCTCTACACTTGTTACTGTAATCAGATACCAGATATAAATCTTAAACATTCTGGAGCTATCCCGTTGTTAGGCTGTCCCCTTCTAATCGGGCTTGGAGAAAGATGAAGGGAAGGCAGTTTACTTATGTCACTAACATGAACTTTCTTTCCAGAGTCCCAGGAACGCCCAAGGCTCACAATGCCTTCCTGTTACCACATCAGAAGGTTTTCTGATGAGTCAATTCCTAATGCTTGCAAGTGTGCCCTCATTTTGAAGTTGGACCCCCACGTCGCTGCTCAGTGCTGCTCATGCTATTTGGTCATAGGTCTGACCTTGACCAGAAGACAGGCTGGTAAGCACCCCTTACAGAGAGTGTAAATAGCTGGATCTGGGGAGAAGAACAGGAATAGAATGCTTGTGCTACTAGCTCAAGTCAATCACACATCAATTCTGCTCTTCATTTTCCATGTTTGTCCATGCCTCATGCCAGGAGACTTTGCTGTCCGAGAAAATGGAGAGACATTATTCCCTGGAGGGGAGGTAGATAATGCTGCTAGTGTGAAAGAATGAAGTGGACTCTTATGAGCTCTCTGGTCTGTGTTTTCCACCCTCAGTGTTCTGTGATTCATCTAATTAAGGTACACAGCCTGGAAAACAAGAGGCAATTTGGAACTTCTCCTCATTAGCTGGGCATGAATGGGATTTTTTTTTTCCCTCTTGACTATCTTCATTTTGTCTGTGGCAGTTCTTCATGACTCAGACTCCAGAAGGGCTCGTGATTGTGTGGGTTGCCTCTGGCAAAGGCAAGTAGCTTGAAAGTGTCTGTCTGTCTGACTTTTACTTCTCTCTGAAAACAAACACTGAAATGCCTATTCCCTGTGTGGCTGACCCAGCTGCTGTGCCTTGCCTGCTTGTTGGGATACAAAATGATTAATCTCCTTCTACATAGTTCAGTACTTAAACCATATGTGAAGGGGGCACAAGGGCTTTTATATAAAGCAGGGATAAAAAAAGACTTGTTTTACTCTTAATGAAGAAATAATTTCCTTAAGAACAAAAAGCTCTTCGCAGCCAGTGCTTATAAATTGCTTAATTGGAAATACACATAACAGTCCTATGAGGATTATCCGAGTGCTTCTGGCTGGAATTAAGAGTCAGGAAAGAAAAGTTATTTTAGAGATACTAATAAAACAGGAGGTTGTGAAGGCTTCTGGGATATATACAGATGTTTTATTTTAGGCTTTGCATATAAAGCTGATTTTTAACCAATTTGTTATTGGTTTTCAAGCTCTGCTGATTAGCCTTCAGGCAGAGATGAGTGAAAATAAAGGGACAGACCCCCAGATCAGAGGGAGATAACTCAAGAAAGGTGGACTGATTTTTTTTTTTTCAGCTGAGACTTCAGGCTATTGGGCCTGCCAGGAATGTCCAGGGAGCTATGTGAGATTTAATCAAATGTGCCAGAAACACAGCTTTGGCAGTACCTTCCCTTGTTTCCTAATAGGTATCAAGCCTCTCAACAATCCTCTGCTTTCTGCAGGAGATGACAACTGCACAGACAGGCTCCTTGCCCAGCTGCAGTGGAAATGCCTTCCTCTACCTCCTGCCACAGCCAGCCTCCTCCTGGGAAAGGGGGAAATGGTGGCTCTTGCAGCTCCACCACTGCCACCTCCTCCATTTAATGAGCTTTTCCGTGCAGGAGCAGTGCACCAGCAGGGCTGCATCAAATCCCTGGATTCTATGTACTTTGCTAAACACAAATATGGAGCCTCTCAGCCACCCCCACACAGCTTCAGCCACCACAGCTTCTCCTGTCCCTTGGAGGCAGCAGAGAGGATGGGAAATGTCTGCCTGCTCCGCAGGGCTGAGATTCATCTCTGCTCTGTGACCCTACAAGCCCTGTGCAAAACAACTTGCTTCTTTCTGTAGCTCTTTGTTTAGAGCCCAGCTCCAGGGTCAACTTCCAGGGCACATGAGGCCCTTCTGTCACTGAATGACCCCCAAACCTCTGGTGGCTGACAGTAAAGGCACCTGCTTCACCTTCCTGCAGCTGGGTTTGCTTATTTGGGGTTGTTTTGGACACTGCATCCAAAGGCCGTGCTGTCATCACCAGCCAGACACGGTGAGGGGCAGCTGGTGGCAGTGGGTTCCCTCACCACTCCAGGGTCTCCCCACAGGGATGGGGTCCCCTCACAGCCCCAGGGTCACCTTGTTGTCCACGAAAAATTTTTACCCAGTGTTCCAAAGCCAATAATTACACACTCGAGAGAGACATTGATTATTTCAGAGTTGCACAAGCCTGAGTGCTCAGTGGTATTCCACAAATCAAGCAAGCCAATTATTAAAACTTTTTATTATTTCTACATTTTGGCAGTCCAAGGCATTAATGTTCATTGGTTACAAGTTACATAGTTCTTTTATTAATCAGTATTCTATCTTCTACTGGTTAATGGTTCTCTTGCTTCTCATGCTAATTAGTCTGCATGCTCAGTCTTCCTCCTCTTTCGGGTTGGTGGCTTTCTTGGGTTGGTGGTTCATGAGTCAGTGGTCGCGATCTCCCCCTGCCAGAATTACCTTTTACCCAGTCAGAGCTGATGCAGCACAGTTGCTGAGTTGTCTTTATTAGTTTTCTTCCTTGCCTGGGAAGTTCTGCCAAATGTCCTGGTGGCCTGTAAACTCTGCATTCTTCGTGCCCACTATCAGTGGTACACCCTTCTCCCCAGGCTCAGTTAACCTCCCCTCGGTCTGAAACATGTCGAGGCCCTAAACCTTAAGAAGGCAATTTCACCAACAAGTAATTTGTCTTTCTAACACCCGGACATCACTCAGAGCTTACTTCCCAGCAGCTCTCTGTTTCAAAGATTAAATATCTTTTGTTGTTGTTGCTGTTGTTCTTGTTCATTAGGCTTGAAAGTGTGCAGAGAACACCCTTTCCTAGGAGAACTTTCACACGTTCCACGTTTCGCGGCGCCCTCCCGGCCCCCGGGCCCTCACGGCGGCCGAAGGGCGACGGCGCCATCTCGCGGCCGGCGGCGGCACCGCGGCCCAGGCCCGGCCCTCGGGAGCCCTGGGGGTGCCCTTCGCTCTGGGAAGTGTGAGCAGAGTCGTAAAAAATAAAAACAAAAACAAACAAACAAACAAACCCCAAACAAGACAAAGGCGGTGCGTGGAAATGATCGCCGGTAGCAGCGGCACAGGTGTGAGCAGCTGTTTTTCGCTCCCCCTGCGCCGCAGCTCTGGCAGCCGACAAGCCAGGGCATGCCTGGGCGAAGGGCGGGCTGTCGATAATCCCTTTTTATTCCCATCCTGCCTTGCCCAGCTGAGTGTCCTTCGTTTTATGAGTTGCAGTCTTTATTTTCGCTTCTGATAAACGGTGGTATTCCAGCTCAAAAGCCCCACAGGGCTCATGTGCGACTGATGATGAGGGAAGGTGGAAGAAAAGGTCTCTCTTTGGAAGACGGATCCACTTCAAAGCTGTGGCGATTTGAGGACTGACTGCCAAAGCGCAGGGAGCCATGCAGGGAAGCAGACAATAGCCAGGCAAGACTGGCCTTTCAGGCAGCACTGCAGGAATAAAAGAAGAAGAAGAAAAAACACTTAAAAATATTTGAAATGTAAAACTTAAACACGGCATTTTCATTTTAAAATAAATTCCTTTTTTTTTTCTTTTAACTGGTGAGAGCATACTCATTAGCAGCTCCCCTAGGTTCAGCAGTTTCTAGATGTTATTGCAGATGGTATAAAGATCCACACAGAGAATAGAAGCAGTAACTACTACAAACTAAAGCTGCAGTTGCCTATTTAAAATCTGGCCTGGTCTTAAAGGCAAGGACTTGCCTGCCTGAATCTTAGAGCAGTTGCGCTGACAGGTCCAGCAGGGAGGCTTGGAAAAACCTGGCAGGCTGGCACCAGGGACGTTAGTCATGGAGTCCTGCATGGCTGAGGCAGGGTCTTTTTACTCTAAAAATAAGTAAGACTCACGCAGGACGTCTTTCACATCAGCCATGGTGCCTGCATGTGCGTTCATGCTGCGTGCTGTATATCGTGTGCAGTGTTCATCCCCTCCAAGGCAGTGGGGACAAAAGCTCAGGCCAGGATGGAAGGGGTTCCTCAGGTCTAAACATCTGCAAAAGGGGGATAAGAGTGGCCATGGACAGGTCTAGGTTTGGACTTTGTTATTTAAGTGATGGGTTTTTTACTTGAGGGGATGGTGATGATGTGTGTTGGGGTAGAACTGAGACCTTTGGAAACCTGGTTCATGTTTTCAAGAGAACACAAACCACCAATCTGCTTCTAGAATCTGTTAATTCTGCAATTTGGGAGAGCTGGGTAATTTTGTGGCAAAGATATCCTCAGCCTCCCTGATCCCAAATTTGGGTAACTTACCATACCTTATGCCTTCCTGAGGCTCACCAGATCTGAGTGACCCTGTCTATGTGAGCATGCGAATTTCTGAGTGCTTAGGGAACACACCTTTAAGCAGGAACTTAAGCAGAACTCTTTCTTCCTATCATTTTGGCTTTCCTTTTATTAAATCCCAAATTATGCATGGAATGTAATTTTATCTCTGTCTGTCACCATGCTGGTAGAGAAGTGAGCCAAAGGCTGTAGCTATCACCAAAGCTCAGTTCTACCCACAGAAGGAGTCCCATAAAAAACCCCATTTGATCAAGCAGTCAACTCTATCGGTGAGAAGTTTAGTGTCTGAAAATATATGTATCACAGCTGAAAATAGCATCTCCCTAAGATCTGTAAACTCAGAAAAAGAGTCTGCTTACAGTGTCACTGCCTGACACCTTCCAGGCAGAAGAACAGAGATTTTTGTTCTGTAGTAGTTGCTCATTTTCGGCTTCAGTCAAAGCCTCAAAATCAGAAGCGACTTTTAAAAAATACTGTCTGGATTTCCCTTGAGATCTCAAGACAATGTGTTTTACAGAACCACAGAACAAAAGAATATTCTGAGTGGGAAGGGACCCACGAGGATCCAGCTCATGGCCCTGCACAAGACATCCCCAAGAGTCACACCATGCGCCAGAGAGGATTATCCGAATGCTTCTTGAACTCCGGCAGACTTGGTGCTGTGACCACTTCCCTGGGGAACCTGTTCCAGTGCCCAACCACCCTCTGGGTGAAGAACCTTTTTCTAATATCCAGCGTAAACCTCCCCTGACACAGCTTCATGCCATTCCCTCATATCACTGGTCACCATAGAGAAGAGATCAGTGCCTGCCTCTCTGTTTCCCCTCATGATGAAGCTATAGACCACAATGTGGTCTCCCCTCAGTCTCCCATTCTCCAGGCTGAACAGACCTCAGCCATTCCTTGTATGGCTCCCCCTCAAGGCTCTTCACCGTCTCTGCAGCCCAGTGCTGAGAGTTGCTCCAGAGGGACAGGCATTACCTCATTGATAGAGACCCTGTAAGTACTTCTTTCATTATCTGGACCTAATTATGTTGGATGCCACGTACATATGATAGATCTGGGTCAGTTTTCTTCCTTGTAAAACTGTGTTCGTATAAATTTTGATATTTTAAATTTTCATTCCAAATCAGAACTGAAGCGTATTTTGCAATATTGTCATTTTTGGTAGCATAGAAACGTCAATTTCCAATCATCTTTAATGATTATTTCCTTTTCTAATGCTTGTCAGCCTCTTCTTCACCCACTTCAGAAGCCTTCACTGTTTTAAACATACCAAGTCTGCTCTAACTCAGGAGACAGTTAAGGTATTTCTTATGTGCACACAATGTACAGCATGATAGAGAGGGGCTTTGTTCAGCGTTAGTGGAGATCTCTCCTGTTTAATTCTGCATCAAAGAACAAGGTGTTCTACTGCTGAAGTTAAAAGCAACCTTAGAAAGGAGCAATACCACCTGCCTGGTTGCTCATTCCCGTTACCAGAGCCCCTGTCCCCTTGGGTGGCACCGGCACTGGTGTGACAGCATCATGACCCAGCTTTGCTGTGGCTTGCTTGGTCGAGGGCAGGAGTAGGGAGCAGGGAGGCAGCAGCAGGCTGGACCTGTGTCTCTGAACTGCTTATGCCAGTGCCTGCTTATACATGCTTGAAGACTTCATGACAATATCTCCAGAGTGTGGACAGTGAGGGCATTATATTGCCTCAGTTTTGAGACTGGTTCCTGATATTCTCTGTGATCCTGATCTCTAGGAGAAAGTGGCAGGGGGTGGTTTCTGCATTGCTGTGCTTGTCATAGCTTATACTGTCATTTGGGATTCTCCAGACTATTTTCCCTATTTCTGTTCAACTGTAGGATCTGCATCCCACAAGGCATCTTGCCATACTGCTTGTTCCAATCCTTTTCTTCCTTTCTCCCAGGTTTTCTTGCATGAGTCTGACAACTCTGTGATAATCATTCCTCCCCCTCACAGCTCTTCATGGGAATCTGCGTGGGTGGGCATAGCTGGTGTACAGAGCACAGCTATCTTCTCTCTGTATGTACTCACAAAATTTGCCAAAAGCCTTCCCACTAGCAATAAAATTCCCCTTCACAGGAGATCCATAGCAAAATGGAAACACGCTTTACTAGAGCTGGAACTGAGACTGGAAAATTATGACTGATTTTCCAAATCAAGCATCCCTTAGGAGTCACCCCCGGAGAAATCTGGCTTTTTGGCTCCAGAGTGGCTTCCAAAGTGCTAGAGGCGCCTTGGGAGCTGGCGTCTTGGGAACTGGAGCCCGATGGCTGTGCACAGCCATCTGTATCATCAGCTGAGTGAGTTGGTGCAGCAAAACGCAGTGTATGCTCCCAGAAGGCACTGCTGCTGTGCTGGCCAGACAGACACAGGATAGTATGGGACATGCCAAGCCTATCAGCTCCATTTGGGGTGACTCACTTGGGGAGGTGCACTGGAGTAACTGAGGTGTGGGCAGGATTTCGGTCAATGCGTCATCTGCTTGTGACAGTGCTTCCCCCCACACAAGGGAATATACCCTTTAAATTTCTCGCTCTATTTAAATACCTGTCTTGCTGCCTGCTGGTGCATGGGCTCCAACTAACTACAGCTGTAAAAAACCCGATACCTAGATGAGACTGGCTCTGAGGGATGTGTCAGCCTGGGACTCCCTCAGCTGCCAGAGCAGCTCGCTGATGCCCTGATTGTCAGCCTCAGCAGAGCTGCCAGGGCATGAGAGAAATTCAGTCAGATTCTTATTCTCAAATGAGAAAGGTGGAAGCAAATAAGCCAGAAAACTTATATCTTTGGGGACCACATTCTTGTGGTGAAATAGTCAGGGCTAAGTCTCCCACTATGAAGGCAAGGAGATAGTCTTAATCTTCTTTAAGTGATATCAGAGAAACAGCTCCCCTCTCTGCATTCTTCCATGAAACCAATAACTTACAATGCAAGCACAGGCTCAGAGTAGTTATCCTTGGGTTATAGCTTGTGTGTACTAGGGCGCACTGAGATCTGTAGGTACAGTTGGTGGTGGAGGTCTACTCATGTGATTATCATCATCATCTTCCAAACCAGCTACTCATCACATGAAATGCTTTGGGTAGCTGTTTGTGACAGAGCTTGTGCACAGAACGTGGTGGATCATTACCCCACGGAGAACACAGAGGGTGGGAGGTGCACATCTGCCTGAGGGCTTTCAGCAGCCTAGAGGAGAAGTTGGTGCTGGAAGCCTTGCTGGGGCATCTTGCTGTACAGAGAAAAACCCTAGAAAGGAAGGGATCTTGTTGATGGAATACAAACCAGACAAGGAGAGGAGGCTACTGGCACTGTTATGTTCACTGGAAACAGCTACGTGAGCTGAACTCCAACCTAAAACTGGAACTCTCCAAACCCAATTACCATTCACCCCTGTTGAGCCCCTTCTTCTGACTCATCAGTATGAGTTCACCTCATCACTTGGGGTTGTCTTCTGACAGCACAGCGAGATACTGCAAGCCTGTGAAGGAAAATATTTTCTTCTTCAAATCACATTTTTGGAGGTAATGGCTCAGCAGTCAAAAATCATCATCAAACAACAAGATGAGCCAAAGCAAAAGCAAAAGATACTGGTGGATGGTTTTGACCAACTGGCTAATGAAAGACACATCAATTTTATATTGCAAGTTTATTATAGTAATACAGTCAGATTAAATGATTTTCACAGCTAATATACCTAATTATCAGACTATGTATATATGCTTTATTCCAGCACATTACAATCTTTTTATCTTTAATCATGCAGCAAGTAATGTACAAACACAATTATAGGGCAGATTTTTTTCCCCTAAATATTACAAAAGTATGGCTTTATAAGAAAGTCGCAGCATACAGTGAACATTCATTTGTATTTGGGCATGGCAACATTCAGTATTAATCAGTGAACAACAGCATCTGTCACTGCCATGCTGATTCCAAAAAAACCAAGGGAACTGGGAACAGGGAAATGCCCATCAGTGTTAGAGAGATGGAAAATATATATCTATATACATTCAAAGTACGAAAAATGTAAAAAATTATTTTGGGGATTAAGTATCACTTTTATTTGTATGCTGAAGCCAGAGTTACGGAGTCTCGAAGAACATAAATACACAAACGGTTTCTGTCTTCCTTTAGACCAACAAACATCAGGAGTGATACAATTGACTTAAAAAGCGCTACTTCAGGTGTAAAGAGGTCAGAGGTCAGAATCTGGCCTGTCCTTCCTGCTAATGGTGCTGCAAAAATAGACAGAAGCATATGGTTAGGAAGTCATAGGCAGCTGAATTTTGCTGGCAGCCCAGAGAAAAGAAAGACAAAGATGTATGTTTAATAGATTTTATTTTTTAAAAAATGGATTCTAGAATAAAATGTGGCCAGCATCACAAACCCTTTGCTGGACGATTGGAGTTGCTGGCAAGCAGAAGCGCTTGTGCTTGGTATTCAGGGGTGAAACACCCATTTCAAGAGCAAAGCTGATGCTTCTTTACAAGAGAAGAAGAAATGTCCTTACCTGTCAGCAGCACAGAGCCTGGGACGCACAATGAACTCGTGCAAAGGCTGCTTCCTTAAGGCGTCGATCGCTGGGTACGAGCAGTGCAGTAAGTACTGTCAGTCAGTTACGGGTTTTACCAGGAGAGGGCAGCCAGACACAGACATCCGTGTGCGCACATGCACCCACACGTTTTCACTCACACACCCCCACACAACCCCTCCCTCGCCACACCCCCCCCCTCAAGTCACTCGCTGTGCTCACTGAAATGGCTCTCACCAAAACTGTAGTCACACACATACCGAGACAACTCAGATCCTTACAATGCTACTCCCCAAAATTGAAATTAAAAAGATGTAACCTGCTGAGCCAACCTGTAATCCAAAGATTAGAAAAGACTTTACCCTCTCCCCTTTTCGCTGCTGTTTTTATTTTTTTCCCCAAGTTCAGAAATACAGATTTTAGCAACACTTACTCAGTATGCATATATGCAAAATGTAAACATCACCACACAGCACCTAGCACCCTTTTTGATTTACAAAGTCACCAACATGTTTCTCATGCAAGCACAGGGATTTTTCAAGACTGTCAGGTTGCAGGAAGTCTGCAAAATACTTTGAGTTTACTTTTGCTAATGACCTGGCTTGGAAAGAATGGAGAAAAAAACACAATGCAGACAGGGCTGAGGTAGATTTGGCCATATCTGATGTAATGTCACTCTATTGAGAAGAAGACAGATAGGATCTCAAACTTTAACAGATGGGTCACCACAAGATAAGCAAACTGGGTTTAGGGAGAAGATTGTCCCATTCCATAAGAAGGAGGGCCCATTCTGCAATCATATCACTACAGGCAATGGAAAGAGTTGCCACCACAACACTTATAGCCCTAAATTTTGGCCCAATGGGACTGCACATGGGAGGTCCAATAGTAGCTCCATGACTGAGGGCCAGCTAGTACTTGATCTCTTGTTAAAACGGTCAGGAGAAGGAGAAATGAGGGGGCTGTGGAGTGATCTTTCCTGTGTGGGTAACTGCCTGTTACGCATTGGGGTGAACACACTAGGATTTTTGCATGTTAGCCAACAGTGGACCAGGCCGTGGTACCAGTCACAAATATGCCCCAGAAAGAAACTGCTCAAGACAATCCATCTTCTATCCTCTCTCTGGGCAACTGGATAGAGGGGAGCCTCCCACATGGACAAATGCATGCATACAAGCATCCCGCTGTCAGCTACAAATCCACCCATAAGCCTGAAGGGCCTGATCCCTGACCTTTGCAATGATCCACAATTATTATGGCCAACAAGAAATCCCTGCACCATTTTAGACTCAGTTGCTCCCAGTGGGTTGCTGTGGCTCTCTGAGTACAGCCTCCTGCCTTATTAGAAAGTGCTCTCCATTAATGCCAAGAATCCCTACCTGTCTCCTTGGATTTGTAAGTCTAACAGCCTTCCCCTTCCTCCTGTCTTTTCTGCAATTCCTTATAGCACAAAACTCTCATGGTTTCGAGCCAGCGCAAAAACAGTGGATGATTTCCATTCCCTCCTTTCCTGGGATCTCTGCTCCCGGGGCCTAATTACTATTCTAATAATATCCATCACCAGCCTCCTCCGCCTCTCACCCACCGACATCCGGATGAGATACTGCAGTGCTACTGGGAACAAACCCAATCCTACTCCTCTGGACTCCAGGGGTACCACAGGGGCCATACTCTGCACAGTTGCTCTGGTCAGTCATGGGCAGCGAGCACCTGCACTGTCCTCTGTCTTGAGCTCCAGGTTTTTGTGGGGAGGGGTGGGGCATATGTTCCAGGGCTTGGGAGCCTGCAGGGCTTGGCAGAAGCAGCTGAGCCACCGCTTATGATGCAAATCTGCCTTGGGCCCTGCTTTTCGTCCCAAGCCGTGACAGCCTCTGTCTGCAGCAAAGCCTGCTGAGGGAGCAGCCTCCCTGCAAAACCCTCACCCAAGATTGACCCTGAATTTCCCCCTTCACAGCCTCTCCCACTGAACAAGGAGGAATAGACACAGATGGAGAAAGACATGCAAGTCCCCAGGGGCAGGGGCAGAAGGATACTGCAGAACCAGGGATGTGGGATTTCAGGAGAAGGGTTAACCCCTTCATGGCCTGCTTGCCACTTTTAGGGCCGGGCTGACATTTTCTCCGCCTCACAAGCAATCCTGCATATTCACCTGCCTAGCTCAGGTGGCACTGGCACTGAGGTCCTCCTATGGCATGTGGGAAGGAAAGGCTGGGAAGAGCACCCCAGGGTCTCAGAAAGCATGTTCCAGTTTGCTGTGACTGATGTGTTGTGCATTCCCACAGGAAATCTCCACCTGGCCATGCCTGGCATCACCAGTGCCCTGGCATACAGGAGGTACCCCATGCAGAGGGAAACTGAGTGGAAGTGCTCCCTGTACTGATGGGAAAAAAGAGTCCAGTACAGCCTCCGTGGCACAGGCGGGGAATTAGCCAGATGAGACATGAGCCATTTTTGCACAAAGCAATTGAGATGTGACTAAACATCCTTTCTTAGCCATAGTCTTGCTAAAAGGGTTTTGTGCCCTACAGACTTTGGCTCCAAGTTCAGTTGAAGAGCGGAGTGAGTTCTTCACTGCTGCTCAGTGCGGATCTGGGAATTGAGTTACACTACTCCAGCAGAACAGAGGGTTGGGCTTACAAAGAGAGAACACAAATAAGGGATGTCCCCCAAAGGGAGTGGGGGCTCTACCACTGCTGCTCCATTGGTGCTGAGAACAGCCAGGAGAGCAGGACCAGTGCCTTGAACAGAGATGGCTCTGCCTGAGCAGTGAGGTTCAGAGCTACCCAGAAGGCGGGGAAGCCCCAAACCCTCTTTCTGCAAATACACCCCACCTGCAGTGCCCAGTCAGTGGGAACTTTTTGTCATTTCCAGGGTCAGACTCTCTGTCTGGACCCGGGTGGCAAAAATACTCTAATTGACAGCAAGGAACAACTTTTGACAGCAGAACATCACACCCCAGTTTAGGATAACTAACAAGTGCTGGTGGCTCTGAGACCCACTGGGAAACCAAGTTAGTGAGCTACATCTCCTGTAGAGATATGTTCTAAAACACAAGTCAGAGAGAAATAGTGTCACTTATGAAGGACAGGGCTTCCACTGACCCTGCTCCAATTGCCATTTGTTTACTGGGCAACAAGGAAAATGGTTCCTTCCCCACTGCACAGGTCTGTAGAGGCATCAGGGCTGGGATTGTCTTTAACCCTCTCATTCCCAGGTGAGACAGGATGCTTTCTGTCAGCTGTTCTGTGGGTTTCTATACCCCAATCCCCCAGGAATATACACTCACTGCCCCTCTCTGAACTCATGCCCTCCACATGACCTGCTGTAAAGTATCTTGGTAAAATCAGGTACCCTGCAGGATTGCCTCTGCTTCCCTGCAGCATCAGCCATGGACTTTGTGGTTATTAGTAGATGATACTAGATCACTGTTAGAAAGGAAACCTGACGTGTGAACCCTGTTGGTAGAGAATGGTGTTTCTCCCAGCTCTAGCAGAACACAGTCCCATAGTTACACCATTTGAAAATCCCATTGGGCGTGTGGGTAAATCCCACATGCCCAGTGTGTTCCTTTTTACCCAGGTACATTCCATGGGATAGAGTTATCATATTGGGAATTCAGATACACTGATACCAGTTGACAGCTAAGAAACCAAACATAACACAGTCTCGACTACAGTTAACCCTTCACATGCACAACAAAACAGAGAACAAGGAAGGCTTTTGCCTTTAAAAGTGCCGTGCCTGCAATCAGTTAGAAAAGACATTTAAAATCTTGTCACAAAATATTGGATTTTCCAGCATAGCCTAATAGGTTAAGTACTAAAATCACACTAAAATGCAGAGGGCGGTGGATGACCAGCTCCCCTAAGTTGCCTTTGAAAATCCAAGACCCAGCGAATAAAGTCAAGGAAAAACATTTACCACATTTTTTGTCGGTAGCTTTTTGCCATAGGATGGTAAGGGCTTTAGTGCCTGAGGTATAGGTAGTTCCTGGATGCTTTTAGGGAAGTGAGAAGGGGGAAGAGTCTGAAGAATAGTTTGCATAGCTTGCAGATATAAAGAAGCAGGTGTGTTCCCCACCAGGCTGTTGAATTTGTCTTCTCCCAGCAAAGCTGTCCAGTGGTCTGGATGCTCCTGCAGAACTTTCCGCATCTTAAACTGTGGGTTGGGCATGAAGAGCAAGAGGTAGTCGAGGCAGAGCTTCTTTGATGCAACATTGACTTTGGAGTCCCACATCTGCTCCAGGATGACGTCCAGAGGGGTAAGCCCTTTACTGTCCTCTATCCTGGGAGAGGCTCCATTCCCAAGGAGGATGAGGACCGTCTCTGACCTCAGCAGTTCACAGGCAAGGTGCAGGGGGGTTTTCCCATCTTCCAGATGAAAGCAGCCAGCCCTATTGATGTAGGAGTTCAAGCTGGGGAGCTTGTGTGCAATTTTGATGATCAGTCCCAAGATATCTCTCCTGTCATATGTGACCGCCATGGCCAAATGAGGAGCAGAGGATGGGCAATAGCAGAAGTGTTCCCCAGGCACCTTGAGAGCCTCCTCTGGAAAATGAGACAGCAGATACTGAGCATAAGGCAGGTGATTATGCACCACTGCATAGAGAAGGGCTTCTGAAGGTGAGTAGGTTCGTAGGCTGGCATTTTCCTCCCAGTAAAAATATTCCATAGTTCTCATGTCTTCCAGCATCCACACAGGCTTGTGATCTCTCACAGCCTGGTAGAACATATAGGATAAGAACTTGCAGTGCCTGCTTTGATCATCCTGCAGGCTGGCCTGGTTACTGGCCATGGCTCAGCAAATAAAGAGCAGCTCCACACAAAATCACTCCAGACTGTAAGATCAGTGCACTTGGAATGCCGGTCCCGATGCTGCTGCAACCTTCAGGCTGTCATTGCTGCCTGGACTGCACTAGCTGGAATGCATGGGCTGATCATCTCCACCCATTCATTGTTTTTCCCCTCACTGCAGTGGTTTTGTTTAGGTAAGCACAATCCCACAGGCTCAGTTAACCCGTGCCATGCAAGCAGATGGTTAGTAAGTACATCCCGCTCTGTGCGTGGCACAGGTTACTGAAACGCTGTCAGACTGCGAGTGATTTTATACACACACAGCCAGAGAGAACAGAGGGAGAGACTAAAATTAGCTTGAGAGGTGAGGCGGATTTCTGTCTGCATTTCATGTCTAACCAGATCAGCTCATACACTGCAGTAAGTGGAATAGCAATATTCCTCTTTCTTTTTTTTTATGTATGTCACTCGCGGGCACACACACACACACATTTCATTATACAGTAAAAAATATGTAGCAGTGTAAAATACTCCACAGCTGATAATACGCATGATTACATGCTCAGGAAATCAAGGGGTTGGTAACAGTAGCATCAGGAAGGGATCCCTATTTTGTGAATAATGGTATGGCTGGCCACTTAGGAGACACTGATGTTAATGGATTGTCTATAAAGCATTACCGATGTTTGAGATCCCGGCATTAATCTCTGCAGAGGGAAGAGTCAAACAGGCGTGTGCAGTTACGAGTCCCAGAGTCATAAAGCACATTGCTGGGTTTAAATGCCTGTCTTTGTTCAGCAGGGAAATACCTGAAGGGCCTCTGTGCTGCCCAGCAAGTGCATAAACAAAAGGTTAATGGCCAGACCCCACTGGTGGGTGGGGAGCTTTGATCTGAGCATTTCTCAGATGTCGGTGCTCTAGGACTGGGGTCAGAACAAGCAGCAATGGGGAGAATTGGGATTAAGCAACCAGACTTGTGCAACACCCTGGCAAGACACAGAGGACCAAGGCCTACAGGCTTGAGGGGGTAATCCCTGTTGGATGAGGCAGAAGAACCTGACCAAAATTAAATTAACTGAAAAGAAATGAACTAAACCAAACCTCCTTTATGGCGAGCTGTGTTTAAGGAAGGAGGGTTTCCATGCATCTTATAAATCAACAGATTGCAGTAAGATAGTATCTCACCGTTTTTAGGAAAACAGGGAAAATGCAGCAAATCAAGAGTTCTTTCTTCATTTAGCATAAAAGACAAACACATATTCAGTATATTCAAACAAGAGAGAATTCAAGTACCAAATCTGAACATCTCCAAATGGTGTTTGGGGTCATCCAAATAGAAAACCAAAGCTACTCACAGAACTGGGACTAGATCTTGCACAAGAAAACCAAAGCCATTCACAGAGCTGGGTCTAGAACTCGTACATCTTTCAAAGCATTTGAAATTTGGACTTAGGTTCTCAGAAGAGAGAGTTAGAATCAGTTTTGACTAATAGAGAGAGCATCCAAGAGAGCAGGAAGAGTTTTGAAGGGAAAAACTGAAAAACAAAACTGATTTTACCCAAGACAGCATTTACCTTTTCAGTTGAGGCCAAGAGACTCTTTAGACCTCTCCTGGGCAGATGCATTTTTCACATTTTGATGGTGATTTCAGCTCATAAAGTGATATGGTTATTTTGAACCTGTGAGAAATATAGCATGTTTGTGAGCTGTTCAGGAATCTTCTTACTGAGTGGTAGGCTGAAAATATTGTTTTGGGGCAAAAGGAAAAATTACCTCATATACAAAGACAAGAATTGAATGTTAGTATAACTGAAATCTTATCACTTTAATAAAATATAATTATTAGCGCAGGTCAAATTATTACAGAAAAGTAAACAATACTCCTATGCAGAAAAAGTTTCAGTAGTAGTAGTAGTTGTTGTAGTTGTAGTAGTAGTAATAAAATAATTTGAAACTCTTATGCATACCTTCTTATCTTCTATCCCTATTCCTGGTGTTATACTACCCCTGCCCGTGCTCATCTAGGTCCTAAGGTTGGTGGTGGTGTTACAGGGAATCACTGAAATCCAGAGCTGTTCAGTGGGAGGAATGTGAAGCTGATGGTGATGGTTTCTTTTTCCTCAATCTAGAATCTCCTGGCGGTCAATTTTACGATTGTTAACATGCTTTTACATCTTGTTTTTTTCTTCAATGGATTGAAACTCCATTTTACACCCAAATTTACTACAGATGTTGATTATATACATGTAAGATACTATTTCTTTGTCCTCTTTGCTACTCCTAAAACCATTTTTATCTAGCTCTGTATCTGCATTTTTGTCTGTAGGTGAGTTGTTGGTAGCTGTGACCTCTCCAGAGCCAAGCCTGTGCCCCATTTCCTACCATCTCACTGGTCCTGTACTCATCTGCACCTCATCCTGTGCTTCCACTTCTCAAGACCTCTGTAGTAACATCAGGCCCATGATTAACTCTGTTAACTCTGTTAAGATGGAGTTGCGAACACCTCATGGTGCACAGAAAAGTTACTTTTTACTGCCATCTGTATAAAACTATGGTTCTACCATACAGTGCTGGTCAAAGTAAATCAAATCAGCCACAGCTGCCTGGCTAGAAGGAAAAAAGTGCTCCTACAGCTAAACCAAATTGAAATGAAGCAGCAGGTACTCAATAATAGTCCCAGCAAAGCAAGTTTGCCAGGCCTCAGTCCTGAGCCTTTGCAAACCCAGTACAGAACCTGCAGCCTGCTGCCAGCAATGGCCATACTGTGCTGCAGGGATAGAGGGTTCCAATGGATCCTGTTTCTGGAATAAACTGAAGCAGAAAGGCTTTTTGTACTGCATGCCTAGGCTAAGGCTTGTCATCCTTTCCCTGACGTTTCTTCCTCCTGCCACTCTGTACAAAGACACAGGACGCAATAAGGAACACCCTGGAGATAAGAGTGAATGAAGATACCTTCTGGAAACAGACAGAAACAACAGCACATTTTAGTTACTGGGACTGAGGATAAATCACTTGTTTGTCTGGGAATGGGGCTTTCACGTTCATTGTTTCACTGCCTAATGGGAATTCTCTCCTTTAAGGGAAGACCAGGCATGCCATAGGCTCCAGCAGTCTAGGGGCCAATATGAGCTCAGCTCAGCTCCTTCCCCCATGTTTTTGCCTGGGCATACACAGGAAAAACTTAAAGGAAGAAGCTGTTTGTGAAGGAGAAGAACAAAAGGCTTTGGGGAAGATTAGGACCATCTCCAGCATTCTACATCTGTCAACAACTCCAGTGAGATGTTTCTCGCTCCCTTTCTGCCTTTTTCCGATGTTTTTTGTTGGCATCTGTTTGCAGGCAAAACTGATTTCAATTCCTCTTTGCCCTTTGTACAGAAGGAGCACAGGACAATCCAGCCAGGACATACAAAGAAGCAAAGCAATTGCCAGGTATCAGGTGCCTGAACACAAAGGAAGAGAATTACAGAAACCTGATCTCTTGATTTAGAGGTAGGCTGTTTTTCAGGATCCTGTCTGCTGGTCTTCTTCCTTTCCTTGGGGAAGAAAAACTGATCTGTAGGTGATGGATGATAACCCTTCAGCCATGGTGAGCCTCTAGCAAATGCTTGCTGTGTCCAGATTTCCACATCCAGCCCAGGCTGTGCAGCGCAGCCTGTGGACATGCCATGTGACAAATTAACACCCTTGTGCTCCACAAGGCTGGTTTTACAGAGCATGAAGGGTTTCTTTTATGCCCTACTACATGCTTACCAGCTCTAATTCATCCAGCTGACTAAACAAGGCTTTGGGATGGTGGAAAAATCTACAGTCTGACCTGTCCTGAATCACAGAATATTTCACTTCTGCTTGAAGGATTCAAACAGTGAATGAAACAACCTCTGACTACATTGCTAGAGGGAAGAAATGAAAATAAGCAGAGATTTACCACTTTGGAAAGCATTTGAATTACTTGTAATGGGACCAGCTGATGTGCTGCATGCAGAACAAATCAATCCCCAAATGGTTATTTACCTGCAGAAGTTTGGAATTGAAAGATAACTACCTGAAATGCACCAGTCATCTGCAAGATATGTAAGAGTGAGTCATCTAGAGACAAGTGAAGGACTTTCAGAAGATGTCCATGTTGCCAGTCGAGCACTGCTGTAATCCAGACGTGTCCTGCTCACAGTGCTACATCCAGATGCTCACCTGCACATTGTACCAAGACCTGGAGCACTTGCAAGAGTTAGGGAAGCTGGGGCAACACAGTGTTTTCCTGCAGGTTCTTGTTTATCCAGCCTGTAGAGGGCTTGGCTTGTTGTGTCCCAGTTTCACCCAGCGCTTCGCTTACCAAGTGCGATTAGTCTGAAGCTCTGCCGCAGCGAGCCACAAACAGTGTGCACAGAACATGCACATATCAAGAGTCTGAGCATGCCTCCACCTGTTCCTTTGTCCACTTGTAAACTCAGGGTATAGACAGTGTCCTTTATGTAGGAAATGTTTCCAGCACAACTGGGTGTTGACAGGGAGCAAACATTCTAGAAGCAACAAGACAGTGTGTTGGCCACCGAGAGCACAGGTCAGTGCAACATGAGCATGGTGAGACCGATGCCAGACGATGAGCTTCCTTGTTTATGGCAAAGCAGAGCCTGCTGCAAATGTGATAGCATCTCCACAACTGGGAAAGAAGGGAAGTGTAAGGCTGAAGATGGGTCTTGACACAGAATCTCCTGTGTCTCCAGTTTCACAGGCTAATTTATACTGACTGCTTAGGTCAACCTGCAAAATCCCTGGCATTGTAACACTTGGTCACTAGTGCTAACACATTGTGCTACATCCTCCATGTCTGTGAAAAACTGTCTGAGAGAGATGCAGATAGCAAAGCATGAAGTGACATGGGGTTAGCAAACTTCTGAACTCTGGCCCCTCACAGCAACTATCCAAAATTTTTAACAGCATTTCTTAAGTAATGATGAATATTTATTCCTTTAATCCATCTTCTTGTTTCAAGGAACAAAAGCTATAAAACACCTGGTAGGTGCCTGTCTCTACCCTAGGTGAAAGCTGAATTCTTTTTTTCAGAGCCCTTCTCATCTCTGCTGGCATATGCACCCCCAGTTCTAACTCCCACTGCAGGCACTGGCCAACTGCAAGGGCAAGCTGAAACTGTCTGATTGTCACTGTGTGACCTGAGGGTCAGAGAGACCTATGGCATAATACCAGCTCTGGCCACTGACTCTGAGGTACAACCTCCCTTACCTTCAGATGAGGGATGAGGGAATATTTAGTGTTTCCCAAAGCAGTTTTTCTCCTAAGCCTCAGCATGAGGAATGCTGCAGGAGGCAGTCGTAAGGGTCTGAACAAGCCTG